AAGAGACGAAACCTCCCCTCCTGCTCCACCAGAAAGAAACTTGAGGATGAAGCCGGCACCTGGCCCATCACCCCCATTGTATTTCAAACAAGGAATCCATTCTAGGCACAGGAACAAGTTCAGGAGTTCAGTTTCTTATCTACACCTCGGCTTCCTCCTCGCTTTAACCACTGGGTGAGTTTTCACCAAGGCTGAAGGGCAGTTGGGGCACAACGGTACCTACACTGAGCCGGGAGCGGCCGGCGGTTCCCCCTCGAGGCTGCACTCATCTCAGTACTCCTAAGGAAAATAAAAGCGTTCCAGGTGTTATCAGGTTCCTAGCGCTACACATTCCAGTATGTGACAAAAGAGACACCCATTAAATCCCGCTCAAGTCTTTTTTTTCCTAACCAACACCGCCCTCAAAGAGACACCGAAAGGAACCAGTGACAGAGGAGCGACGCGCATCCTCTGGAAGGCAAAACCTTTCTCTTGAGGCGAAGCGAGGGCCTGGGCTGTTAAACCGCCGTGAAACTCTGAGGCTGGAGAGCTCAGCAGATGACTCACATCTTCACTTGGGGTTTTTTTTTTGTTGTTCTTTTCCCCTCCTCTCCTTTTTAAGGAGGCCAGCGATACCTGTTCTTAAGCAAGGGCAGAGCGACTTCCCGGACGACACGCCGCGTACCCAGTTTAGCGCCTATAAAAAGGCGCCTTTCACACCAGCTCCCGGCGGGGACGCACCCCTCGCTGCCGAGCACCACGGGGCTCTGACTCACCCGCTTCACCCCTCCGGAACTGCCGGCAGGGCTAAAACGGCACCGCTCTGCGCCGCGCTCCAGAAAGCGAGAGGGATTGCGGCGCTCAAGGCGGCGGCCTGGAGTCCTGAAGGCGTTTGCTCGGCCGTGGTTCTGCGCCGGAGTCGGGCTTAGGGCGTCAGAAAAGGGACGGAGTTAGAAAGGGGGGACGCCACTAACTCACCAACAGCCCCCTTGAAAAATGAGGTTCCCCCCCCAAGGCGAGGAGAAAACTGATTTTTTTTGTTTTGCAGAAAGCGCCAAAGCCGAGGTGATTTCAGATTCCACACACCGAGCTCTTCAGGCTGGACAGATAGGAGAAACAAATCCAAGATAAAAAGCACAACCGCGCGTTAGCGGGAAGGCTGAGTCACGGTGCCCACACCGAGGCTGCTTTTGGGCTCCAAAGCGAGTTCTCCGCTCCCGGCCGACGCTTCTCCCGCTCCGGGCAGTGAGGGAAATAACGCACAGGTCCACCGGTGAGGGAAATAACGCACAGGTCCACCAGTGAGGGAAATAACACACAGGTCCACCGGTCGCAGATCTCGCCGCCAGCTGTTTTGACGCTACAACCGAATGATTTTTTTTTAAAACGGGGAGACTGTTCCTTTGGGAGGACCGTCGTGTTAGCAGGGTTCATTTCCAGTTAGGGGTGGCAGGCACATTTTTTCCGAACCCAGGCCATGAGGACCAACGTCCTGTGACTGGGGGGTGGGAATAAAGCCCTGCTGAGGCGTTGTCAGGCACGGCACGACTCGGGAAGGGCGCTCGGGGAGTCACGCTAAGCGCTGCCGCGTAAAAGTCCGATTTAAACCGATAAGTGCCAACACGTTGAAAAATGACTCACTACTACAACGAGAGAGACAGGAGTTTACTCTTCTGGAGCCCTGTCTCCAAACTCCGAGTAGCTTAATTAAGCCGGAGTAAATTCATTTACACAGCCACACCCTTCGCCGACATTCGGGTAGACAGAGCCTGGCCTAAACACCCAGGAAGAAAGAGGCTTTGCGGAGGATGGCAGCTGGGGTGGCCCCACCGCCCCCGCCCCCAGGTACTCCCCACCTGGCTCAACGACATTTCCGAAAGCTTTACCACCAGCGGCTGACGCCTGGCCTCGCACCCGCGGGGGCTGGGCGCCACCTCGCAACACCCCGCCCGA